CATTTGAGTTGTGTTGGAAGAGACTACTAAAAAAGAACAATATTTAATATTAATGTTTTTAATATTAAAAATATTTAGAAGACTGTTAAAAAGAACAAAGAAATCTGTGTTGGAAGAAGCACAACTAGAATGCTCCTCAGAAGCCTGGATGGGGAGAGACTTTGTCTTTCATACTATAGATATATTGTCAGGAGGGACCATTCCTTGGAGAAGGGGCAAAGTGGAGGATCAGTGAGATGGACTGACACAGGGGCAGCAGCAGTGGGCTCAAGTGTAACGAGTGTGAGGATGGCACAGGATTGGGCAGGGTTTCGTTCTGATGTGCATAGGGCCGCTCTGAGTCGGAACCGACTTGATCATATCTAATAACAACAGCACTGCTGGAGTCCCAAAGATTTTAACATTTTGTGTTTTCATTTTTGTTTGATTGAAGGAGTTTTGTGTTTTTTTTGTTTGTTTGTTTGTTTTGGTTTCTTATGTTACCCTGGTTTTAAGCAGGGTGTTATTATTCAGTTTTCATGTAATTGAATTTTTTCTCCATAGTCTTCTTATTGTTGATTTCTTATTGTATAGTGTTATTCTCTGAGAAGATGTTTTTTATGTTTTATTATTATTATTATTTATTGAGGTTTGCTTTGTGGTCTAGCATATGGTGCAGTTTGGAGAATGCTCCATGTGCACTGGGAAAGAATGTATCTTGTGCTGTTGTTAGATTGAGTGTTCTGTGTGTGTCTTTGAGGTTGTTTAGTTTTTTTGTGTCTTAGTTGAGTTTCTTTCTGGTTTTCCTGTCTTCATCAAAAGTGGTGTATTGATGGACTTCCAGCAAGATGGAAGACACACTACACGGGCCCTCTACAACAAGAGATATGAGAGACCAAATAAAGCAGACACAGATGTTAATTCTGGTACCTTGAACTTCAGAGGAAAGGGTAGAGAAGTGCATTGAGTGCTTGCTGGGAAGAGAAGCTGAGCAGGGACAGCAAAAGAGAAAGACTGGTAAACGGCTTGAGTATCTTGTGAGCAGCTTTGGCGACAGAAGGAGGCCTGGCAAAGCAGATTCACACAGGAGACAGGAAAAGTGTAATACAGTCTTTTCTCCATGCTCCCCTGGTGACCAGAGGTATGGCCAGCTCCCACCCTTAGCCACTTGCAACAGAACCCTGCTCTCCAGGAGCCATGTGGTTGCGAGGCACACCAGTGTGAGGTGGAGGCTGACTGTGCCACTTTGATGTCTGAATTCAGGTAGGCTTGGCTTCAGACGTACAAATCCTGCAGAGTTTAGACTAGTATTTAACCAGTCGCCCAGCCCCCAGCTTCCCTGTGGTCCTAACAGACACTGAAACCAGCTGCATCAAGGGGGGCCCCCGTGAACTACTTCTAGATTGAGTTCCTTGAACATAGAAAACACTAAAGCCAACAGGAACTTCATCTAGGGTCAAGAACTCTACTGTCACATCTCTTCCACAACCACCTCATGAGCTCCTTAAATTGCAAGAGCCTCCAGAGATTTCTCCCCTCTGGGTTCAACAACTACACCGTTTGTCATTACAAATACCACAACTCCATGCATGATGCCCCGAGGACAACAGACAATTTTAGCTCACAAGAAGAAACAAGAAATTGGCACAAACTAATGACCAAGATGCAGAGACAGAAAACATTTCTGAAGGGAAAAAAAGGCAATAAAACACGCAGAAAAAGAATTAGAAAGGATGATATTTAGTTACTGTCAATGGATTGACAGAAATATCAAGGAAGGCAAAGAGAACACAGAACAAAACTTTAGTAGAATTCAGGTAAACACTACTTTTTAGTAGAATTTAGGAAAACACTACAAGAACAAACAGACGAAATAAATGCAAATTTGGAAACAATACAAAACCTGCAATTAGAAGTACAGAATATTAATACTAAAATCTCAGAAATAGGCAATACATTAAAAAGGCAAAGAAAATTCGAAGCAATGGAAGCCCGAGTTAGTGAGCTTGAAGAAAAAAAAAATATCTCCATACTAGTATGCAAGAAAAATCATCAGAAAAAGTCTGAAGAAAGCCTGAGAGTTAGTTCTGTAGGAGACCATGAAGAGGAATAACTTCACAGGTGATGGGAATTCCAGAACAGGAAGAGACAGTAAAAAGCACAGAGAAAACTGTCTTAAGAGTTGTTGGAAGAAAGCTTCCCTAACATCATAAAAGTTGAGAAGATAAGCATGCAGGAAGCTGAACAGATCCTAAACAGGATAGATCCCCAAACAAAATCACCAAGGCATCATATTGAAACTTTTCAAAATCAAAGACAGGGAAAGAATTCTGAGATGAGCTGGAGGAAAATGAAAAGTTACCTGAAAAGCAGAACCAATAAGACTCAGCTCTGATTTTTCAGGTTAGGAAGGCAATGGAATGACATACAAATCTGTGAAAGAAAAAACTGCTTGCCAAGAATCGTATTCCCAGTGAAGTTGTCCCTCAAATACGACAGTGAAATTAGGACATTTCCTGATAAACAGAAATTAAAGAAATTTTTAATGGCCAGACCAACTTTAGAAAAAAATGCTAGGGGGTGAAACTACGGAGCCAGAGATTATTAGTGTATAATCTAAAGAGATTATTAGTGTATAAAGCAAAGAGAAGACATAATGTGGACACAGAATTTCCAAATGGTTAGGAAGTCAAATCGATTTCAAGATAAAACAATGTGTTAAGCAGGAAAAAAATAATAAATTACAGGGTAACCTCAAAAGTAATAGATCTGCACATCAAAATTTTTAAAAAAGGAAAATCAGAAAGATTTAGTAGACATTAACACAACAAAAATGGAAAGACAACGTGCCAACAAAGAAACTGATGTGGAATAAAGAAAGCAGCAGCAGCACCATAGTAAACTGACGGTGATCACTGCCGTGTGGTGGAAGTTCTGTGTCCACCTTAATCCTTCTCTTTGCTTTGTAATTGATTTGTGGTTGGCAATCTTTTTCTGTCAGAATGTTGTGCATGTCATCCCGTTGCCGCCTTGCCTGCATGGTCTCTTCCGAGAGGGGCTAAGAAACCCTGTTGATGTGATGGTTAAGCATTTGGGTGCTAACGAAAAGATGGGCAATTCAAACCCAGCTTTGTGAGAGGAAAATCCTGGCGCTACCTATATAAAAATTGTTGTTGTCAGGGTCTTTGGTATTGGTCCGACTCATAGTGATCTATACGAGTCTATAAACAAAGTCCAAACCAGAAAAACCAAGATGTGTAACACAACGTATTGTTACTCCTGGGAAGCAATAGTTCTTACAAATCAATAAGATAAATTAATATCTCAGTAGGAAGTGAGTTTAAGATATGAACGAAACAGTTCAGAAATGAAAAATATGTCTTTGGTAGCCAATAAATGCTGGTTGATCAGATGTTCTGATGCATGCTAGAGCATCAGTGGACCTTAAACACACACTGAATGAATCGAGTTCCTCACAAAACGACACAAACTCTCCGATTTCACTTACATAAGAGATAGACAAAGGCGCTTCGAGGTTAGGAGGAGCTGGTGGAGGTGGAGGTTGTATGCTCTCAAGTTGGTTCCAAATCAAAGTGACCCTGTGTAGGATACATCTTTATGGGAGCAGAAAGCCTCCTTTTTTTCTGCCATGGAGTGGCTGGTATATTCAAACTGCTAACCTTGTGGTGAGCTGTCCAATGTGTAACCCACTAGGCCAGCAGGCTCCTGGAGGTGCTGGGTGGGGGTGGGGGAGCTGGGAGTTCCTGCCTATGGGGTCCTGACTTTCTGAGAAGGGTGATGACCAAGGTTTGGAATGGATAGTGGGGACTGTTTTGTCATAGCCTGGCTTCTAGTATCAGAGTGTTGGAGGGACTGGCAGGGCTCTCGGGGAAATCATTTAGGATCCTGTACCTCGGGCCTTCTCACCCTGCAATGTGCCTGGTTGCCTGGAGGGCTTGTTCAAACAGATCACCACCCAACCCTAGTTTCTAACTCAAACTGGTCTGGGTGAAGCCTGAGAATGTACCTTTCCAACAAATCCCTGGGAATGTTACTGGTCCTGGTCCCAGTCCCCAGGACCCCACAGGATGAATTACTTAGCAGTCCTGGAAGATGAAAGAATACGGGAGCTCTAACCGTAGTGGTTAGGAGTTGGGCTGCTAACCTCAAGGTCAGCAGTTGAAAACTACCAGCCATTCCATGGGAGAAAGATGAGGCTTTGTGCCCCCGTGAAGATGCACAGCCTCGGAAACCCTATGTAGGGTTGCTGTGAGTCAGAACTGACTCTACAGCATATCACCACCACCATGACTACCATCACTGATCGGGAAGACTTCTTGTATTCCTTACACTCCAGTGTATTTTAATTGTTTTCCAATGAATATTATCAGCTTTTTAATTAAAAAGTCACAAGGGCATTTGCAATTTGGGTAATAAATGTAAAAAAAAAATTATGATCTATGTATCTCTCATGTACGGAGTCCTGATGTGGCACTGTAGGATAATCACTGAAACTGCTAACTAATATCAGCAGTTCAAACCTACCAACCGCTCCTTGGAAACTCTATACTGGATCGCTATGAGTTGGAACCGACTCGAGCGTACTTAACAAGAATACGTGTATGGACAGAAGAATAAAATGATGAGACTAATGTTTCCAGGAAAATATGACTTGTAAATTATTTTACAGTCTGTCTGAGATGGTAGACCAATTAATGTAGCAAAATAACTGGATGCAGTAAGCACTGGTGTTATCTAAAATGATCAGTTAGGTTCCAGGCTTCGTTTTCCTGCTTCGAGCATGAGGGTAGTGCATGTTTGAGACATTGATAACCAGAAGCACTGAGTAGAGGTGTCAGGAGGGCTAGCAGTCCATGTATATGGCCCCAAAGGAGACGACCAGGAGTGACAATCTGCTCTGTCTCCCTCAAGGTAGATGGCAATTTGTTATTCTAGCAAAGTTTGCCTGCCTTCAGAGTCCATTTGTTCCAGGCAATTCCAGAGGCCCTTCTTTCTTTCAGGTGGCTACTCGGAATGCATATGGTCTGGCTCTGGCTAAACTGGGCCACGAAAATGAGAGAGTCATCGTCCTCGATGGTGACACCAAGAACTCCACCTTCTCAGTGACGTTCCAGAAGGAGCACCCCGAGCGGTTCATCGAGTGTTTCATTGCCGAGCAGAACATGGTGAGTACGTCCCCACCCTGTGGACAGTGTTACCAGAGAAACAGGTGGATGAAAGTGATGGGGATAGAGTCTGGAGTTCCCAGTGGCCCCACTCTTCCGGCCCGGCCCAGGCTGGCCTGGCCCACCACTACTGCAAGCAGGGACTGATTACTTGGCAAGGTAGGCATATGCTTAGGATATCAAGAAAACGGGGGCCCCAGTTGTCCAAAGCCAAAGACTCAGAGATACCATGCAAACAGGGCACACGGGAAAGCCAGCGCTGCTGTGAGAGGGAAGTGACAGGGGTCGGTGTGTGAGTGTGCAGTTCCTACAGTGTCATGACGACAGTGTTCAAGTGGCTGTTGGAGCTGCCTCCTTAGGTCCCCTCCCTTTCGGAAATCCTGAGCTCCACAGGTCTCTTGGCAGTGAAGTATTCCTTTCTAGTATATTACATTTATTAAGGGTGGGGTGGGCTGTTGGAGCTGCCTCCTTAGGTCCCCTCCCTTTCGGAGGCAGTGAAGTATTCCTTTCTAGTAGATTACATTTATTAAGGGTGGGGTGGGCTGTTGGAGCTGACTCTTGTTCCATTCACCCAGTATGCAAGTGGATCCAAACAAAGGGCAATTGGGCAAGGATGGATTCTCTTCCTAGCTAACCTAACAGACCTGGGCTCTGTTTATCCAGGAGGGTCAGCAGTGCTCTCTGCCATGACACAAACACCACAAGTCTTAGTAAACAGCCCACAGAAACTCCAATCCCAGATGACACACAGAAGGGAGGGAATTCAAAGAACTCAAGCATTGCAATGAAGTCAGTCAAGTTCCTTTGTAGGCGTATGGCATTACATATACAGAGTCACGTCCTAAGTTGTGTGGACGCAAACTAGCAGACATCTGATGTATGCGAGGGCTTCAGAGACTTTGTGGAGAAACGGAGTTCAATGAGGATGGAATTTTTTCATGAACTCTTTGAGTCCCTGTTTGTAATTGGATAACAGTTTCATACTAACATAGCAAACATCCAAAAAATACTGAAGATTTTCTTTTTGTAGGAAATGTGCTATTTAGTAAAAATGTTAGCACTTTACATCCATTAAACATTTTCTAACCAGCTTCATCTCATTCCACTAAAATGGCATACGTTGACTTTTGCATTCATTCACTAATACTATAGTTGCATTCAAAAAGAAGTTACATCATATAAACACTGTAGGATAAGCATTGAAGTGCTAACTGCTAGATCGGCAGTTCAAATCCACCAGCCACTCCTTGAAAACCCTCAACAGGGCCACTATGAGTCAGAACCAACTTGATAGTAGTACACAGCAGACATACAGACAGACAATACACAGGTACGTCTATAACTATGCCAGCCCAAAGACGCAAATACCCTAACCATGGTCGGCTTAGCTTGGTGACGGTTTTCCTATCCAAACGGCTATGGACCAGCAGGCTTCACATAACCACTGTTGTTGTTGTTGTTGTTAAGTGCTGTCAAGTCAATACCAACTCACAGCAAACCTGTATAGGGTTTCCAAGGAGTGGCTGGTGAATTTGAACAGCTGACCTTACAGTTGAAACCGGTCTTGTGGGTCAGTGCTTTCTCCTAAAGCACCACACCAGTGCTCACATAACCACTAGAGATGTTTTATTTGGAACAAGGGGTGTTTTTTTTGTTTTTGTTCTTTTTTAAATAAAGCATATTCAAATCAATACCAACATTTAAAACTCAGGAGATTTTGCTTAGAATCCAAGTTCCCACATTCTCTTAACAAATGGAAAGTTCTGGCCCCTCTTGCCCGGTATTCCCTCCTGATGACAAACGAGCGCTCAGAGTCATGGTCACTCATGGCTCAGTGGGTGGTACCTTTTGCCTAGTAAAGTAGACCATCACAGTTGTAAGAATACAGATCGTTTGCCCTGGGTCTCAAAAAACAATTTTCATTTGGAATGGGAAAATGTGGGCCCCATCATTCCTGAATTGACCCCCTTCTTAAAGACTGTTCCTCAACTCAATGAGTCCCTCAGCCCCCAATCGAGTGCTGTAGCCCCATTGGAGGCCCTGTTCTCACAGACGTCATCGTCGAGGAGAGCACCTTCAGTCTTGCATCCTGCTTCCAGGTGCTAGGAAGTCACTGAGCTGAGAGAAGCTTCTTTTTGTGCATGAAAGCCTTTCCTTGGCCCTCTTGATCCTCCTCTCTGACAGAAATTTGCACACGGCTAGTTTCTACCATTCTCCTAGGCCTGTAAGCTTCTGCACAATTCAGTTGCTTCTGGATCCAGCTGTGGTTGTGTGATTAGCTTGTGTATTGGTGGGTGCATGGAATCCTGGTGTAGCGTTGGACCGCAAACTGCAAGTTTGGCAGTTCAAGCCTACCAGCTGCTCCTCAGAAACTCTTGACAGGGTTGCTCTGAGTCTGAAGCCACTCAATGGCATTTAACAACAGCGGTTTCAAGCCTGAATGATGAGAGTAGCGCTAAGGACTCTTCTCTATTACAGTCAGCGGGTAGGAGCCAAAGCAGCATCACTTGAGTCTCGGAATTTCTTCCCAGTGCTAAGCCAAAACTCTCCGAATGGTCTTTTCTGAAAAGTTGGTTTATAAATATTATTTGTAAAGAGCTGACCATTCCATTTGCTTGTCTTTCCATTTGGTTGAAAGGAAATCATTGTTGAAAACCACCTGACTGACAACGGAATAGGCTGCCCAGAGAGTCCTTTTGAGTTCTTCACTTTCTCACTGCTGTCGTGATGATTCCAAATTCTCTAGTTAGCATCTGGAGGGTTTGGTTTTCAGGCTATTGTGGCCATGGTACAAGTCAGGGTGGGTGAGAATCTGCCTTTTGGGGATCCTGTTGCTGACAGAGATGGTGGAAAGGGAGACCACAGGCCCTTTCCCTGTCAGAATCAAGACCATATGGAGTCAGAGGCTGTGACCTTGATATTGGTCTGCTGGTGTGTATGAGTGTGGCGTTCAGGGTAAGGTCAAGGATAGTGATGGGAAAAATGGGGGCACATTACATCGCAGACGATATTAAAGCTGTGGCACTGAGTGTGATTTCCTTGGGGGGAAGGCAAATGAGACAGGGTATCCAAGTGAAGCCTGAGGAGGTAAGGCCTGGAGAAAAGAGGGGTGACCAGTTGTGACGAATCCTGCTAAGAAGCTAAAGAGAAAACGGAGGTTGGTCACCCTCGTGGATTTGGCAAAGAGATTGCTCATAGGCATAGAAGTCTAGATGAATTTTATTTTCAATTTGGACTTTATTTTCTAGCAGGGGAGACTGTTGGGTTTTCCAGGTAAGTGTCTGAGGGAGAGAGAGGGACAAAGTAGTTATGGGTTTGCCAAACAGGCACCATAGAATTTCAACTGAGGGAGGGAGTGGTGGCTGGTGGTTACGAGATGTTCTAGTCCGTGTTCTCTGTACTGCAGGTTAGCGTGGCCCTGGGCTGTGCTACACGTGGGCGAACCATTCCTTTTGCTAGTACTTTTGCTGCGTTTTGGACTCGAGCATTTGATCAGATCCGGATGGGAGCCATCTCTCAAACGAACGTCAACCTTGTTGGCTCTCACTGCGGAGTGTCCGTAGGTATGCATTCTGGATTCTGCTGCTCTGGAGGTGGAGAGTGACGTGATGGGAGCAGAGGGGTCCGACATGACATCCCTGCTTACGCACGCAGCTGTGGGCACAGGGAAGTGAGAGTGATGACTAAGTAGAACAGGCTGTGCTTTCAGTGGAAACAGTGAGTAGGACTTAGTTGTGTGCTTATTTGATGGGCACTAAGGACCCTTGGGACTCCAGGTATGGTGCTGTAGGATTAACACTGGACTGGGAACCACAAGGTCAGCAGTTCAAATCCATCGGCTGCTTCTTAGAAACCTTATACAGGGCCGCTATGAGTCAGAACGAACTCAGTGACACTTAACCACAGCATCAAGGACCGTTGAGGATACATGTCACAAGGGAGTGATGATGATGAGAATTCGCCTGACAGAATGGGTGGGAAGGAAGAAACAGGAAATGAGGAAGGCAGTACTGAAGAAAGTGAGTTAGCTGGATAGAGAAAGCCTGAAGAAATCTTGCTACAAGATTAAGGAGTCTGGAATTGTGTGAAAAGCTCAAAAGAACTTCCCATTCCTTTCTGGCCTGGGAAATGTCAGGGAGTTGTGTTTATGGAAGATGGCTATGAAGAACATCCAGATCCAGATATGAGAACTACAGTGCTTGGGGCAGAGGTGAGCAGAGAGGAGTGGAGAAGCCACCCCGGGAGCTGTCCACTTAGAGCTGACCACAGAAAAGTCCATCTTGATGAGCATAGCTAGGTCTGGACCAGACAGGTGGGACCAGCAGGAGCAGGGACTATCACAGTACACATTGGCTTGCTTAGAACGCTGGCTCCTCTAAGGGTTGGACCTAGGGAGGGGCCTGGGAAGCAGGTTTTGTAAACTTGAGTCAGCTATATAACGATGTAGAGCTAGCTCTAGGTCCAACCCTTAGTGGAGCCAGCGTTCTAAGCAAGCCAATGTGTACTGTGATAGTCCCTGTCCTAGCTATAAGTCACCACAGTATTCGCTGGGATTGCTCTTCCCACAGCTCTTCTGGCCAGAAAGTGTGTTCCCCAAACCCTCTTCACTCTTCGTTACAGCAGCCTCTCCAGGGGGCTCATGGCTGTATCATGTGAGCAGAAAAGACTCCATGGAAGGTCTTAAGACGTGATTCCCAGAACTTCCTTCTGAGGTGCACGGCTTTCAGTGGGGAGAAGAGCAGTGAGTGGAAAGAGGGCACAAGCTCTAGGGGAGAGTCCACCTGTTAGGATGCTTGAAGGAGGCTCAGGGTCACTTACTGATAGGAAAGGTCAGCTGTGAGCCTGGGAGATGTGTCCACAGAAGTCTGACGACAGGATGCCAAAGGGACTGAGGACAGTCGACCTGAAGTAATCTTTCTAGAGGGAAAGTGCTTCCCAACCTGAGCCGTTACAGTGAGTTCAAAATGAGATTGGCCAGTGGCCTCGAAGAAATTACAATGCGTTGCTGTGATGTTATCATTAGACATGGCTTCCTTCCTGCTTGTTAGTCTGTCGTGAGTTGGACATTTGTGTTTGGTGTGATTGTTTTCTCAGGTGAGGATGGCCCCTCACAGATGGCTCTGGAGGATCTGGCCATGTTTCGCGTCATTCCCGATTGCACAATTTTCTATCCAAGCGATGCTGTCTCCACAGAGCATGCTGTTTATCTGGCCGCCAACATCAAGGTACATTAAGAGAAAGCCTGCTCAACTGACCATTGGAGTTCTTACCCGTTCTTTTTTCTCACCATAAAAGTCAAAGTATTCATGATAGAAACTGTGGTTCTAGTTTCCCTGTTATAAATAGAACCATTACAGAGCTACTGACCAGAGCAGCCAGGGCTCCGTGCAAGAAGCACAGAGCACTGGGGGGGTATTTGAACTGGGGAGCTGTGGCCAAAAGGCTTACAGAATCACTGGGGGGGGGGCTATAGGAGTGCGCCCCAGGCCAGGTCCAGAAATGCCCCCCAGAACTGGAAAGTATTGATCCGTCAGTGGAGCTGGTCTAGGTAAGACACAACCCCATTGCTACCAAGGTTGTCCATGCGGAAGGGCAGTGCAAGAGCCTAGCTGCAAGGGAGCCAACAGGCTGTGGTCTTTGCCTCTCCCACTAGAGGGTGAGCTCCACCCCACCCCACTCCTGCACTGTGCCCTCACAGGTGATCCCAGATGCCCATAGAGTTTCTTAGGTTGACATCTTCATGCCATTCAAAATCGGAACGTGAAATGTACAGTTTCCAGGAAAATTGGAAGTTATCAAAAATGAAACAGAACACATAAAGATGCATCTTCAAGGCATCAGTGACCTGAACAGTGGACCTCAGTGATGTCCTAGTCCTTGACCTTTGTTTTTACTAAAAATAAGTTTCAGTCCTCCCCACCTTGCTTTAAGGTTCATTAATTGGAAATTAAGAGTCTGTTTTTTCTCAACTGAATCTCTGCTTTTCATTTGTATCCTAGGGCTTGTGCTTCATCCGGACCACCCGGCCAGAAACCACTGTGATTTATGGCCCGGAAGAGCTCTTTGAGGTGGGACAGGCCAAGGTAAGGGCTGCAGTGCACAGTTCTGTACTAGTGTAGGATCCCTGCTAACCAGAAGGTCGGCAGCTCTAGCCTCCCAACTGCTCCTGTCAAGACTGCCAGCCTCTGAAATCCTCGGGAGCCATTCTGCTGGCCCTTGCAGGATACCTGGGAGTCACTACTGGCTGCAGTGGTGATGCTGCTGGAGTGCATAGAAAAGGCATAATGACGGCAGGAAGGAGCATTCTCCCAGTTTCAGATGAAACCAAACTCTTCTTTCCACAGGCTGAAGGCACTTGAGCCTCAAGCTAAACACAAGACTACAGTAATCATTGCAAATGCAAACTGACCACTTAGCTGTGGGATCTTCCTGCTCTGTGCTGGGAGTAACAGGATACTGTGTCTTGATAATAAATGTCAGTTACTGGGGGGTGGGTCATCACCGCCATGGCCTGCCTGACAAGTGTGTCTCGGCCCTTTGGGCTCCTGCATTGTTTGGGGTGGGACCTTGAGATGCACTCAGTGCAGTGACCAGAGCACTTTGTTTCCGGATGCTATGGCAGGTCATCCGCTACAGTAACAATGACAAGGTCACGGTGATTGGAGCTGGGGTGACTCTGCATGAAGCCTTGGCTGCTGCCGATGAGCTTTTCCAACAAGGTCAGATCATTGCTGCTGGCCCCTGGGAAGGGAAGGGCAGGCAACCTCGCTGGCTTTGGGATTTGCAGCTTCTCAGCTCCAGTAAGCTAAGGCACTCCAGAAACCTTTGGATGTTCACTTTCTAGGTATTCTTATCCGTGTCATCGACCTGTTCACCATTAAACCCCTGGATATTGCCACCATCATTTCCTGTGCCCACGTCACCAATGGCCACATAATTACTGTGGAGGACCACTACCCAGAAGGTGTGTCTCCCTGGATCGGACATGTGCCATGCACCTGTGCATCACCTCCCCCCCCACACACACACACACAGACACACACAGAGGCTACATTGTAGGGCTCCACATCCCCAGCATAGTGCAGAGAGGAGGGTGTGTGTCTGCACCATGGGTAGGAAGGGGTCTGGATAAACTTAGCATCTTGTGAGTTTTGAATGCTATATGACAAAAAACAAAACAATGAAGTTGATACCCCACAAACTGAGAGCCTGGAGGAAACACCTGGGGAGGGGGCTGGGTACTTGCAGGCAGAAGGTTAGGAACGGCAGACAAAAACTCAGCCATGGCCAGTGGTTGGCTGGAAGGACGTGGGGAGCCACTAGGACAAGTCTGCACACAGCCTTTCTCAGGCCACTAGCTCACTCCATCCCCTGAGGGGCACACCCAACTGCCCTTTGCCGTTCCTGGGCTCTCCTTTCCAGGAAGCTCAGGAGGGACTGAAGCTCAGGCTCCCAGAATCCATAGTGGTTGTCCAGGGACCAACATCATTAGTTGGGGACAATGACACCCAAATGCAGACCTGTGGGGACTCTTCTGCACAGTTCATTTGTTGGTTGGCATCACATTGGGGCCCCTGACAACTTTAAACAAGGAGGCGGGGTGACTTGTAGGTGTGTGGTTTTGAGTGAGAATTCTGTCCAAGAATGACTATCTACAGTAGCGTTCCTTGGGAATCCGCAAGGGCTAAAGGGCTCTGTGTGGGGACACGCCAAGGCTGACAGGCCATCTCTAGACCAGCTCTAAGTCTTTGCTTCCCCAGGTGGCATTGGGGAAGCCGTCTCTGCAGCTGTTGCCATGGAGCCTGGCATCGTCGTCCATCAGTTGGCAGTATCAGGAGTGCCGCAAAGTGGGCAGGCCAGCCAACTGCTGGATATGTTCGGAATCAGCGCCAGGCACATCGTAGAGACCGTGAAGGGCATCGTCATGACCGAGAAAAACTGAATTCTTCAAAAACTATACACTGCATTCTTGTTTGTTGTTACAAAATCATCTTTTCAATCTATACAATTAAGCTTTTCTTTTTAAATTTATGCCAATTCATCCCTAATCCAGAAATTCAAGTTAGCTACCTTGCTGTTAAACCACAGCTAGGGGGAAGAGTCACTCCAGATTTGGAGTCATTGAAGTGAGCTCTAAAATTGTCAGGAGCAAAACCCCCACTGTCCTAGCTGCGGCCTTCATCGAGTGCCATCCTACCTGCAGCCGCCAGGATAATGGGTGCCATTGGTTGCCTTCGAACATTCTCTGGTGTATGCTGTCATCTCCCCTGTTAAGATGTTCTGCGCTGCTTGTGATGACTGCTCTGTAAGAGATGAAAAATGTTACTTTACCTGTGACCAGCCCAGCCTGCTAACTTGATGATACTCCTGTTGGAAGGAGAATAGTTAAGTCGTTAATAAAGCATCTCAAAACCAGCTGCCTGAGTTTCACCATGTGTGTCTTATATGTAGGGATTGGTTTCTTGCTGATCTGACCTGACATAAGAAGCTTCCTGCTAAATCGGCAGTTTAGGAAGCTGGAGACAGGGAAGCCCCGAGATGAGCTGCTGGCCAACAATGTGTGCCCTGAAAAGGCTGAAGCTGTCCCTTGAGCTGGCTCTTTACTTGCAGACGAGAGCATGTAAATTATGTGCCAGCTCAGCTCAACATGAGAGCTGTGTCTGGATGGCATGGCCCAAGTTCCTTACTCTAGGACCCTCATGAAGTGGCCATCAGGGTTCTATCTCCAGAATTGTTCTAGAAGGTGTAGTAGAGACGAGAGGACTAGCCTGTCGGACTCACCGCTGCCTTGCTCAGAGCAGGTGTTCGTACAGGAAATGACTGTTCTGCTCTTCACAAGATTGGACAATTATTTTGTAAAAGTAGGGACAGTTGGTACAGGCTCACTGTAGGGAACTTAAACCACCATCTCCAGGTAACACTACATTTCTTTCTGAGTTTTAAATAACAGCTTAGTTGGTACATATAATTCATGCATTCCAAGTATACAACGGTTTCTAGGTTATTCATAATAGATGGGTAGCTGTCATCCCTATAGAATTGTAGAACAATTCTATCCCCCCCAAAAGAAACCCCAAGCCTCCAGCCCTTGGCAACCACCAATCTTCCTGCTCTATGGATTCCCTGTTCTGGACCCTCTCTAGGAATGGAATTGGACAGTATGTGGCTACTTTTTCTCCGCATAATACTTTGGAGGTTCATCCATTTTGTAGAATGTACCAGACGTTCGTTTCATAAGACCAGTATATGTGGATACACCACATTGTTTTTTCCTATGGGTGGTGCCCACTCAGGCTGCTGATGGGTGGAGCTACTGTGAATATGCACGTGTACAAGTCACATTGACTGCACGTTTAATCTTGGGGTACTGTGCATGTTAAAACAGTTTTGTTGGCCGTAAATGAAGGTGCCCGAAGCCATTCACTCGCCCAGACAAGCCAAAGAGTCGCTCATCACCAACAACTATCAAATGCCGGTACACATAATAATAATCACCATGAACCCCCAGTTCCGAAAAGCAGTAATGGCTTCAAACGCTCACTATTTCAGCCCCTCAACAATGCTGGCCTGGCACCACAGTTCGGGCAGCGACTGGGCCTCTGGCCCGATGTGGGAGGGCCCCCGCCTGGCCATTTGCCTCTGGCTTTCATCCCCAGAATAGCGACCATTGGGCTTTGGGTACATTCAGTATGCTGCGTTTGTCTCCGTTTTGTTGTCCGTAAGGGGGCAGTTTGTGTAAGGAGCTTACACATCAGCAGGACCAGCGGGGTGTTCCCACCTAGGCCCGCCCCTCCTGCCTTTAGATCCACCCTTAACCCCACTCCTTCCCAATCAGTGCGTTGGTATGGGGTGCCACCATTCCTGTGTCCCTTCTATTGGCCCACCAACCCTCCGGGGACGCCTCTACCCACCATTTGACTCCGCCTCGCGCTGGCAGCGCGCCTGCCCGCCCGGTCCGCGGCTCCTGGCCAATCCGCGCACGGTCGGCTCCCAAGGCTTCGTCATCGGTTTTTGTCCCGTCACTCATTCAGCACCGTCCAATCAACGCCGCCCGCGCCTCGCCGAGTGCAGAGGGTGGAGCCCAGCCTAGTTAGGTGGCTGGAATCGGCCAGGCTGCCGGGGTCACACCCGCCTGGTGGAGACCGGGACAGGCTGGGCAGAGTGGAGTGGGCTGCTAGCCGCTCGCCTAGACGCCTTGAGGGAGTAGAAAGCAGGGGCGAACAATTAGTTCTTCAGTAGGGAAGCACGCCACAGTCGCACCTTCTCAGGTGTGTCCCTGTGGTCGTTAAGTGCCTTGGAGTCAGTTCTGACTCATAGCAACACCACCACCACCACCACCCCGTGCACAAGAGAACGAAACACGACCTGGTCCTGCACCGCCCACTGTCCTCACAATTGTTGCTATTCTTGAGCCCATTGCTGCTGGCAGTGTGTGTCAATCCATCTCGTTGGAGGTCTTCCTCTTTTTCGCTGATCCTCCACTTAACCAAGCATTATAACCTTCTCCAGACACAGGTCCCTTCTGATGACACGTCCAAAATATGAGAGACAAGTCCCACAGATTTGGTGGTTCTTCTGGAAGTCCATGGTACTTGAAATATTATTTTCCAACACCAGAACTTAAATGTCTTTAAGACCTTAATAAGGTCTTCCTTATCCACTGTCCTACTTTCACTTGCATATGAGAAGTCTGAAAATACCATAGCTTGGGTCAAGTCCACCTTAGTTTTCAAACTGACATCTTTGCTCTTTAACACTGTAAAGAGATTTTTTGCAGCAGATTTGTCATTTGATTTCTTAACTGCTATTTCCATGAGTGTTGATAGTGGATCCAAGCAAAATGAAGTCTGTGACAACTGATCTTTTCTATATTTACCATAATGTTACTGAGTGGTCCAATTATAAGGACGTTTCTTTTCTTTACAGCGAGGTGCAGCCCATCCTGAAAGCTGTAGTCTTTGATCTTCAGGATAATTGCCTCAAGTCCTCTTCACTGCCAGTAAGCAAGGTAGTATCATCTGCGTATCACAAGTTGTAAATTATTCTTCCTTCAGGCCTGATGCCACGTTCTTCTTCATATAATCCAGCTTCTCGAGTATGTGCTCAGCATACAGATCGAGTAAGTCTGGTGAAAGGCTAGGACCCTGAGGCACACCTCTCCTGACTTGAAACCATTCGGTGTCCCCTGGTTCTGCTGGAATGACTGCATTTTGGTGTAAGTACAAGTTCCTCACAAGCACAATCAAGTGTTCTGGGTTAGCCATTCTTCATAGTTTCTCATAATCTACACAATCGAAAGCCTTTACATAGTCAATCAAGCACAGGTAAACATCTTCCTAGTACTTGATGCTTTCAGTCAAGATCCATCTGATTAATTGTTATCAGGACTGATTGTGAGGGTTGGAAATGTAAAGGTAGACGTTTTATAGCAAGGAGGGGAGTGATTGATTGACTTTTCAGTCTGGGAGCAGAGGTCCCTGGGACCATCAAGGGAGAAGAGTGGAGAGCGGGACCCTACCCAGGGAAGCAGTGATGCCTGAGATGGAGGCAGAGACGATGACGTGGAGAGATGGAGCAGCTGGGGACTTGAGCTCCAGAGAAGGAGAGGGGCTGTGTGCTGATCTCTGGGGGACAGGCTTGTAGTATATACCCTTTGGTTGGTTGATGATGCATGAAGGGGATTGTAACCATAGCAATGAAATGATATAGGATAGGATGAATGTAAAACTAATGTTCTCCCGTGTAAACTATCACATAATTTACAATAAAACCTTGAAAAAAAAAATCCACCTGTTGTCACAATGATATCCCTAGTGCCATATTCTCTTCTGAATCTGGCTTGAATTTCTGGCATTTCTCAGTTTAAAACAAAAAAAAAAAATACACAAAGAAATGAACACTCAACAAAGTAGGAATAGAAGGGAAATTCTTCAACATAATTAAAAGCATATATACAAATCCAACAGCCAACATTTTTCTCAATGGAGAGAAACTGAAAGCCTTAAAGCCTTCCCTTTGTAAACAGGAACCAAACAAGGATGCCTTTCATCACCATTCCTATTCAATTTTGTGTTGGAAGTCTTAACCAGAGCTATAAGGCAAGAAAATTAAAGCCCTCCAAATTGGCAAAGAAGAAGTAAAACTCTATTTGTAGATATGATCCTATATAGAGAAAATCCCAAAGACTCAGCAAGAAAATTATTGGAACTCAATGAAAGATTCAGCAAAGTGGCAGGGTACAAGATCAATATACAAATATCAGTTGGAACCCCTTTCCAAGACTGAAACTCAACACGAGCAGACATTTAAGCTTGCTGGTCACCGCGTTTCTCTACTTGTGAGTGGAAGTGGGGTGAAGGCAGTAATGAAGAAATGGACTGAGTTCAACCACGTTCCATAGACTCCTGTCAACCTTGAGATGAGAGAGAGAGGAGGAAAGGCTGGTTGGTCCGAAGTTAGAGAGACGGGAACTCATGAGCCCACGGACACTGACCTAGCCATGGTGGGCTAGAGCTTAGAGTGAAGTGTCCAGCTGATGTGAAGTGGGCAGAGGCACGCAAGTACACCAAAACGTGCAGATAGTACCCATTTGACCTAGCTTCGATGGCTTGATGACCAGAACTCGACTGGAGGAAGATATAGAAGTTTGATAATGGAAGCAAGTGTAAATTGCTACAATTTGGTGAACTTGACCTATACTTATGGATGTGGTAGTGATGGTGGTTGTGTGCTGTGGAATCGGTTCCGATTCATAGCGACCCTGCATAGGGTTCCCAACGCTGTAAATCTTGATGGGAGCAGAAAGCCTCATCTTTCTCCCACAGAACCATTGGTAGTTTCGAACTGCTGACTGTGAGGTTTGCAGCCCGACTTGTAACCACTGTGCTACCAGAGCTCCTTACTTATGGATGTAGTAGCTCAAAATACCAACCGAGAGGGAAG